ATTAAGAATTAAACTTAATTTTCTTTTCTGTTCTTTAAAATTTGTGGTTACGAATTTTGATATGACGCGTTGTACGTGTATAATAGTAATTCCAAAAGATTACTTGAAATTATTGTACTCTGAAATCGGTAGGTATATTAACCAAATCATTATCATGTTAGCTTTCGATATTCGTTTGCCATTGCTTCTGTCAAATTCCCTGATTATACTGATCTGAGACAATCTCCAACGAACACCTTGGAAAGGTGCCAATGGAAAACGATCGACTATTTATTGTAGATATTATGTTACCTCATCAAACTCCACTAATGATTGACCTATAAACCTAATGCCATAACAGGGACTAGATTAAAATTGAATAGAAATAGATTAAAGGATTTTTTATCAAAAAAACAGGATGCCTTGTTATCTCTAATAGAAAATGTTCAAAAGTGCAAAAAATACGAATATAATAACTAAGAAAATGTAGTTTATTTTCACAGCCCATTTATTTCATAACAGAACTATCTTACCATTTGATTGAAATCAGTACGCAGATCAATCTACATTACACATACATAATATTCTTGATATCAATAAAATAGAAAATATAAAAAGGAAAATCATCTGTTACTAAAAAAAGAATATCCCATTTTTATAAATTCGAATCTCTTAAAAGATTTCGTTTTCAACATTGCGGTCAGCTAAAGTAGCTTTTGCAATGCAGTATTCGGTTTATCTGCATTTAGCCAGTATACTATAAAAGTCACCGTTTCATGGACGTAAACAAAAAGAGACACAGCGATTGCTTATCCATAGTAAAGAGTGAGATAGCAAGCTCACTCTGAGACAGATGTATAAGTCTCGCTCGCTTGTTTCTAGAGCTGTGTGTGCGTATAGTCGAGTTAAATTAAGGATTTAAAAAGAATCATTTTTGTTCTTATCTCGGTGCTTCCAATATCAATTAATGTCATTATTGCAACATTAAAATACCTACTTACTGGAATTTTATTTTATTGCCAATAACTAACATCTTAACAGACATAAGTGGATAGGTAGCTATTACAATTTCATTTCAAGAATGAAATGAAAAATGAAACAAGGAGAACCTTGTTATTGTCGACATGCATCGGTGAAATACCTAAATAGGTACATAACAAGAAATGTGATCACAAGATTAAATGATTGGTCGCAAATAAATAAACCGCAATCGGTGTGTTATTATTGGTAAACGGCAATAAACAAAANGTTTTTTTCATGTTTCATTTTTTTATAATTTGTATTTATTCGCAAGAATTTATAAATTCAAAATAATTTTCATTTAACAACAATCATTTAAAATAAATTTAATACCATTTGAAACAAATATTTGTTTTGGAAATAATTTATTTATGAGAAAAATTTGAGATTAAAATAATATATTTTATTATTCACAACAATTCATAAATTAGCTAAAAAATACTCCACTTTTATGAATATTAAGCTAAATTATCTATTATCAACAATATGTATTATACCTACCAAGGCCAGACACGTAAGGCCCAAGCGAAACCAAGATGGAAGCGCGTGGTTTTTTTTGGCCACCTAAGAATCAAGAAAAAAGTACCACGAGTGGCCGAAATAATAACGGTAAGCCAGATCTCCAGCACGTGTTTTGCCTTACACAATCAACAAAAGCATTCAACATTTTTTGTACACGATTTTGTTGAACGTTGACATGTTTTTGTTGATTGTGTAGGTAGAGCAAAACACGCGTCGGAGAGCCAGCTGTACGAATTAAGAATTAAACTTAATTTTCTTTTCTGTTCTTTAAAATTTGTGGTTACGAATTTTGTACGTGTGTAATAGTAATTCCAAAAGATTACTTAAAATTATTGTACTCTGAAATCGGTAGGTACAATTATAATAATATTATCTCTAATAGAAAATGTTCAAAAGTGCAAAAAGTACGAATATAATCACTAAGAAAATGTAGTTTATTTTCACAGCCCATTTATTTCACAACAGAACTATCTTATCATTTGATTGAAATCAATACGCAGCGCAGATCAATCTACATTACACATACATATTATTCTTGATATCAATAATAGAAAATACTATAACAAGAAAAATCATCTGTTACTAAAAAAAGAATATCCCATTTTCATAAATTCAAATCTCTTAAAAGACTTTGTTTTCAACATTGCGGTCAGCTAAAGTAGCTTTTGCAATGCAGTATTCGGTTTATCTGCATTTAGCCAGTATACTATAAAAGTCACCGTTTCATGGACGTAAACAAAAAGAGACACAGCGATTGCTTATCCATAGTAAAGAGTGAGATAGCAAGCTCACTCTGAGACAGATGTATAAGTCTCGCTCGCTTGTTTCTAGAGCTGTGTGTGCGTATAGTCGAGTTAAATTAAGGATTTAAAAAGAATCATTTTTGTTCTTATCTCGGTGCTTCCAATATCAATTAATGTCATTATTGCAACATTGAAATACCTACTTACTGGAATTTTATTGCCAATATTTATTCAATGCTCGCTCACTAACATCTTAACTGTAGACATAAGTGGATAGTTAGCTATTAGGTACTATTTCAATTTAAGAATGAAATGAAAAATTAAACAAGGAGAACCTTGTTATTGTTGACATGCATCGGTGAAATACCTAAATAGGTAACTTAGATTTTATTAATCTAAGGTAGGTACATAACAAGAAATGTGATCACAAGAATAAATGTTTGGTCGCAAATAAATAAACCGCAATCGGTGTGTTATTATTGGTAAACGGCAATAAACAAATTTGTTTACAAGATTCTGGCTCCTTTACCGTCTGAAAGTAATTTTCTACTCGTAGATAAATTACCTACTACTTACTAAAAGACGTGGTATTTTTTATCTTTTATTTGCACATCACAAAAAAGACTTCCCAAAATTTTATGCTAGGAAAGAAATTAGGCTTTCGGTTGCTGATCAAACGGAAACAAAACATCGAATTAGATCCGGCAGTGATGCGAGAATGTTCTTTAAAAAAAAAAGTTGGGTGAGGTCATGATTAATTAAATTAGCTTGCGATTGGATGAAACAGCGGAGAATATGCTCAACAAAGATTCTGTCTGAGTCTGACAAATGGACCAAACTCGTATTTACCTACCTACCTAAATCTAAAGTTTTCTCACTAGATCTTAGACAGAACAATAGGGAGAGGCAATTGGTGACAATCAGATGCTTGGTGATTTAGACTGGATTGGGATTGATTTACCATCTTGATCAAGCCTCTTGGATTTTCTCAAATGGCTGGCCAGGAAACAGGTCGAATTACAATGATGTCCATGTTCTAGATCAGAAAAAAAATGCTAGGGCGTTGGTGCGCAGAAAGCCCCACAGACTAACCTCCGCCTTTAAACGCGCTTTGCTACCTTTCCTACCTCCTATTGGTACTAACTACTGAACAACGAAAAGACTCCCCTAATTAAGCCCAATTTAAAGTGCTAAAGCTTAGCAAGGTTCGATGTTGAGACCTTTATCTTTCTACCTAGGCCTATACATATACGATTAAAACGAAAGTAGGTCATTTAGGTCTAATAGGTACTAGATGAGTTGAGTTTTTAATTTTCTTGTTTCATTAGATGATTGCGATGAAACTGACGATCTTTTGTACAATATCATCAGTATAGACAGTATTGATCAGCACAGTGAAACGCGCAACATTTCTTCTCACTTTTAATAGAATCGTAAGTCATAATGAAATATTTGAAATTTTTCAACGCAAGTGTGTTATATTGAGCCGGTTTCAATTCTCCGACATAAATATCAACAAGGTTATTTTATGTAATTTCTCACGCTGTAGGCATATCATTCGCAATTATTATTATTCTTTTATCAGGCAATTCGTGTATTAATTAAATTTTCGGTCAATTATAATACAACGGATGTTTGTAAAGACATTGGCAAATTAGTAAGCTTTGACCTACATTACTACATTGCGTGAAATCGTGAATCATCCAGCGACAAGTTCATAGTTAGTCGATCATTATCGGTTGTCTCAATAAGAACGCTTGTTTCTGATTTCTAATTATTTTCGGAAGGTTGTGAAATTTCCTCTGAAATTGCTTCCGATAAATGTTGACGATCGTTAAGCATTCTATCACGAAAAAACTCAGAATCTTGGGGATAATTTTTGTAAGATGAGGAAGTCGCTCAGAACCTTTCAACCTTTGCATTGTAAATGAAGGCATTGATAAACATAATAGTATTATTATGTATTACGTAATTTGTAATGATTCAACAGGCAAATACCTATGCTATAAGGTCCATAAATAAAAAGAATAGGTATATTGGAAGCTTGACAGCAAGATTCAATAAGGATAAACTTTTCTTCGACGTATTATGTATTACTATGGGTATTCATTTAGAGAGTTAACCGCGATTAACGAAAGCTGGTAATCTGTTCTTAGAAAACACCATCTACAACTTAAGTTAAAGTTAGGCGCATAAAACATTAATAATATTTTCTCCCGTTTCCCAGTACCTTCTTTTGTTTTACTAGTTTGTTGCGGAGAGTTCAAATCTTTATTGAACTATCCACGAATAGCTAAAAATTAGTAAGTAGGTACTCGAATCGAACGTGGCTAACTAAACCCTTACAATATTTTAAAAATTATACCTACTACTTACCCTTCCAAGTTGACGAAGAAGAAGTCATTTGTGTTTAAACCTTTAAACTGTACCTATGTACTCTGCTTCTACCGTCGATTTGAACAATTTCAATTGTAGTCCAACCAAGTGACCTTCACTTCAATGGCTAAGTTTTGTAACCAAGTATTACTTAACTTGTCTTTGTCAAGCGCTTCATTAAAAATGTTATTTTAAATGTCATTAGACCGCAAAATGATTGTTGACACGCCGCTTACAAGTAAACATTTTAATTATCTATGTGCGTCATTTTGGTTAATGTGATAAATAATCCATTTGCGGACGTGCTTTTTCGAGGAACTAAATTAACTAATTAATTATGTACTTACTTATGATACTTACCAAAGCCGATTTCGTGTCTAACGGTGTCGGGCTTTACGATAACGGGTGTTTCTTCAAAAACTTTATCTTCTGTTGACTGTTCAGGCTCCCTTTCCACTACTACGGTGGGTTTCTCATCCTCATCAAAGTATTCCTCGAACTTGTTCTTACTGAAGAAGTCGAAGTCTATAGCGGCTCGCTTCATCGTCGGCGTCGCACTGTTAGCTAAATCGACCTCGAATTGCAACATCCTAGCCGGCGACATGACCTCCGCCACTGGGGACGGCTTTACAAAAATATCATTCTCATTCTTTTTAGTGAGCGATAATATCAATAAATTTTCCGGTCGGCGAGTCTCAGATTTATTTATTTCATCAACTTTAGGAGTTTCAGTTATTGGCAGCGAATTATCTAGAGGCGGAGTTTCCGGTACAGGGGTTTGAAGCGGTGTAGTTATATCAATAACGGGTGTACCGACATTAGGACTCAGTAAACTGCTATCTATTGACAAATTCCTGTCTCCGACAGTCACATTCTCGCCGATAACAGAAATGTTGTCGACGCTTGTGCGGAATGCATCATCAGGTAAATCAGAACTCTCGGCTATAAATAACTGATTAGAACTGGTTGAAGTTCTTACAGACATCAGATCTGAATTTTTACTGTCTAAAAATGGAGAATCCATTTTGATCAATAGCTATTTTCAATTTTTGTGTATTGTTATCATACAAAAATTAATCTTCATACATAGTCTCGATTGGTGTCCTTGAAATTATCTCGCCAATCGATAAGCGCAAGAAATTCACATCACTTAGTACGCACACATGCGCACTGCGCGAGGCGGTCTTTTCTATGAATGTGTGCAACCGTGAGCTGTCAAACTTGTTTCGCGGTTTCGTTTTCTAGAGAAATGCGATCTAATTTACGAATCAATTTAGCAAATGAATAATGTTATTAGGTACACAATACTGCTGGAATGTTCAATTGATCCAAAATCACTTCTGCAGAGACAGAAACGGCGTCGCCGCTATGTAGGTGTATCTATAAATAGCTCGTTATAATCACATGCACACTGATTTTGCCCGCTCTTTTTAGTTCACAGTCGAAATTAACAGTTATTAGTACGTCCTGCGTCACTATAGTCCACAAAATTGATTTCACTGTTCAGTTTATGTTCTTAAACGTTGAAAAATTAATTTAATTGCACAGCACAAATGCAAGATACGACGGCGCGCGATGGCGCGGGGCGCAACACAACTATACGATGTAGTATGTCAACAAACAAGAAGTTTTTTAGTTTACGTACAATGCGCGCGAACATCAGAATTCTATAGGCAGTTTCCTTACTACAAATAGGTACGATTTCGGTGCAGTTAGAATCTCTAACATGTGATAATTGTTAGGAATTCCTGTTAGACTGATAACGATAAGGTTTATTTTTGCCTGTTCGTCATTTGACAGAAGCCAATCTACAAACAAGTTTCGTCGTGGAAGAGGAAAACGAAAACAATGTTAGATACGTTCCGTTTCACGGAGTCAGGTTAAACTTTAGGTTTATTTGGCTATTTCTCATCGCCACGGTTCTCATCGTCACCTTCGTGGCGAATTTTATTTCTAACTTATTTTAACTTTTTGTAAACAAAAATTGTAGCGCTTGATGTGAAGATTGTATTCTCAGTAAATCAGTCAAATGGTGAGTCTCGTTTGGAAGCTTTAACGTTTTGAATTTTTTGATGCCACGAAAGTGATTCTGTACTTCACAGCAATATTTTTTTCAAACTTTACTACTGTAAATGACTCTTAAGTGTTTATAAAACATATATTTTGTCTTATTTTCATAAATGCCGTGTGGGGACGGCCGTAAAGAATACAATTCTCCACCGCCAACAGGAGGCGTGTCGTAAGAGGATGGCTCTCAAACAGCTAAAGAACAACAAGGCACCGGGTGATGACGGAATAACATCGGAGCTTCTGAATGCGGGTGGAACACCGATACTGAAAGTCCTTCAGAGACTCTTTAACTCCGTCCTACTCCAGGGAACTACGCCAGAGGCATGGAACAGAAGCGTGGTGGTGCTCTTCTTCAAGAAAGGTGATAAGACCTTGCTGAAGAATTACAGACCCATCTCGCTTCTGAGTCATGTCTACAAACTGTTTTCGAGAGTCATCACGAACCGTCTCGCGCGTAGGTTCGATGACTTCCAGCCTCCCGAACAAGCCGGATTCCGAAAAGGTTATAGTACCATAGACCACATCCATACGCTGCGGCAGGTTATACAGAAGACTGAGGAGTATAACTTGCCACTATGCTTGGCGTTCGTGGACTATGAGAAGGCCTTCGATTCGATTGAGACTTGGGCAGTGTTACAATCTCTCCAGCGGTGCCGTATTGACTATCGGTATATCGAGGTGCTGAAGTGCTTGTACAAAAACGCCACCATGTCGGTCCGAGTACAGGAGCAGAGCACGAAATGTCATTTGTACGACCCTTTTGCAGGAGGCGTCATCCAAATTTTTGACCGGAAGTCGTTATTTCCACTTTCGACATTTTTGGACCAAATCTCCGAAAGCATGGCAACACTGGAGAAATTTCTTCACCCAAGCGACACCTCTTGACAAGACACACAAACGCCTCATACAACTCGTCTTTCCCAAATGTTGCCAACTACTCGAAAAATGTCACCTTTCAGTTTTAATTTCACTTTACAAAATTCGACAACCGTCATTCAGGACTGATTTTTCGCAGGCAACCCTATACCACCGTGTTCATAATGAAATAATCTTTATTTTCATTTATATTTGATTAAATTATCAGACCGATGCAAAATGCTCTATCAATTTACCTGTTTATACCTGGCAACCCGAGAGTTATGACTGGAAAAGAATAGGCAACCTAACGTTTGCATATTCTATGGGCTTCATACTTTCGATTGGTATGGAGTTTGTTTAATAATCAAACCGATGAAATATTTAAAAATAAAACTTTTTTTAATGATTAATTAATCATATCCTGGACTGAAATTTATTAGGCAACCCTTAAGCAATATAATTATTGACATGTTAAATTGAATATAAAATATGTTTCATCAAATAAGCATCTCGGTGAAGGTCGTTGTATAGCGGGATCTTATACTATTACGCATTAAAAAATAAAATTCATTATTTGAACTTTTTCTTTTTCCCACCCCCACCGTCTGCGTTTCCGCCTTTCCGTTTCCCGCCTTTTTTGCTGTCAGTCATTTTGTTGAAGCCACCATTTTGTTTGTTTTTATTGAATTTCCTGCCTTTTCCGGCTTTTTTGTTGCCCAATATCTTTCTGTTGTATCCTTTTATCCACGTGTCTCGCTTCTCTTCCCAAGCCAGTTGCTTGTGGCTGGAATTGTCAGTATTGGAGACGGCTTGGCTGGATCCTTGCTTTTTGTTGGACGCGGTTTCTTCTAGAAGCGTTGAGAATTCTTCAGCTGATGCGAATAGGGATCCGAGATCATCTTTTCCTGTGGGCAGAATAAATAAATGTAGGTTTTATTTGCTTTCAAAAGTTAAGTCAATTGAGAAGAATAATGACTTCATTTTACATTTTAATTCAATAACTAAATAATGACGTCATTGGTGTGTATTGCGAAAGTAATTTAATGGGAGAATTGAGTTTCGAAAATCATAATGATCAAACTCATAATGATTGTTTAATTAATTACCTTTAAGTTTAAGCTTGGGTTTTCCTCTCTGCTTCTTCCCTGGGATTTCTATTTCGTCTGCATCGTCGTCGCTGTCTTGTAACAGCAGTTCTGTTGAGAGAAAGGGTGCAATTAGAACTAACTAAATTCTCTCTTTCTCTGTTGTAATAAATGCGATATTGCAACAAAAAAATGATGCGAAAGTACATTGAGGGTTTTCGCGAATGAAAGATCCGCTAGATGGCGGGACGTGGATGTGGGGTCTGACTGCTGCGTGATTGGTGGATTTTGACATATCTGTCAATGTCATGTCAAAAATAACCAATCATGCAGCATTTGGACCTCGCGTCTACGTATTGCCATCTGGCGGATTTTTCATTCGCGAAAACCCTCATTAATAGAAGCTCTTCTCAGAGCTATGCAACGGCCCTTGTCAGGGCTACATTCCTGTTTCTATGATGATGACGAATGTGGTGTTTCTGTGCGAAAGTTGCATGTGGCTTCGGCTGCAAACATTCATTGTTTCTATTCGAAGACGTTTTTTATTGTGGTCGCTGGCGGCTACAAAACTATTCTAACTGTTATTAAGAGCGCTATAAATATACACAGGTGTGCATATTCAGTGTGTCAATTCGGTGATCTCTGGCTATAACCCGAACATACTTCTACGTTACCGGACAGCTTTACCGGTTATATTCGGATCTCGTGTTAGAGCCCCCTACAATAACTTATGAATGGTTACAAAATGTCATTTAACTTACCTTCTTCGTCTCCCGACAGATCTGGCTCGTCTTCATCGCCAGACATGTTCAGTTCGCCGTCACTATCTGTTGGGAATACATAAAAACATATTTATATTTGTACAATATGAAAGGCTTGTCAATGACAAAGGTTGTCATGCTCTTATGTCCGTTTTCACCATCAATCCTTAATTTTTAAGTGACCCCTATGTTAACAAATAATATGAATGTTGTTTTCATAGGGGTCACTTAAAAATTAGAGATTGATGGTGAAAACGGGCATTATTCTTAATTTTGAGAATCTTATGTAGACACAGAACAGTCATGATAGAAGACTGTTCTGCTGTCTGTCAACTTGAGGCGCGGTTCCACCAAAGCGGAGCGGAGCGGAGAGATGTGGATAATGAAATCTGATTGGTTATTCAAAGCATTTCCCCGTTCCGCTCCCGCCTTGGTGGAAACAAGCAGCCTTATTCACGTAACAAAACTTCCACGACAACAAATCGCTGAATGCGATCCTATCGAGTAATCGTTCTATCAAAATGACCCTTGTGAATCCAGTACGGCTAGCACGAAAAACTTGCGAGTTCAAATCGTTTGCGTACTCGAATCGCCATCAAAAGATTTAGTAAGAAAACTACAACAGCGCCCTTGTGAACGTGTCGTAAAGTGAACTTAGTATGAGATGTGGTTGCACGAAACTTATTTTGAAAATCAAAATTGTCACGTTATCGTTTAATTCGAAGATTGAAAGTTGTTCATGCTAGAGGTACGGATTTAGAACTGTTTTTCAATGGGACGACTTCTGAACGTCAGCGAGATCTTGACTGTCAATATACGTGAATTAGGCCACAGGCTACGCGCAGACTGCAAACTTTTTGTCGGCCGATAGTTTAGTCGGGCAGTTAATCAGTATGGGCATTGATTCTTCATACAAATTAGAATCGGGCTAACTATCGGCCGACTAAAAATCGGTGGTCTGCGCCTAGGCTAAAATGAATACACGGCTAAAGTCACAACCTTAACGTACGTCTATGAGCCGCACCAAAGACCTCAAAAATACGGTGTACAAAATTTCGTTCGTTCGTTTCAGCCGAAAGACGCCACTGCTGGACAAAGGCTCCCCCAAGGATTTCCACAAAGACCGGTCCTGCGCCGCTCGCATCCAGGCACCTCCCGCGACCTTCACCAGATCGTCGGTCCACCTAGTGGGAGGCCTGCTCACGCTACGTCTTCCGGCTCGTGGTCGCCACTCAAGAACTTTCCTGCCCCAGCGGCCATCAGCCCTTCGAGCTATGTGCCCCGCCGTTCCCGTGTACAAAATTTAAATGAACATAAAACAGAAACACATACCTCCATCATCACTGCCGCCGCCTATATCTTCGTCATCCGCATCATCATCATCGTCAGTCCCCAGCTCATCCAGCTGGTCATCACCAGCCTTCTTCTTGCTCTGTTTCTTCTGTTTGTTCGCCTCCATATCCGCTAGGTAGTCTAATTCTTCGTCTGAATCGGCTGTGAGAAAAATATCATTATTATTATTTTAGTCATTTGTTTCTTAGTGGTTGTAAGAACTGGGTACAACTTGGATGTCCTACTTAATCAAAACAAAGAAGATATTTGGATGAGATGTAGACTAGACACGGTCAAAAACAGAAATGGTTATATTAAGAAGGAATCATCATCATTTCAGCCATAGGACGTCCACTGCAGAACATAGGCCTCCCCCAATGTTTTCCATGTTGATCGATTGGTAACAGCATGCGTAGAAGGAATCATAATTAATTATAATCATAGGAAGTGGACCTGAACATAAAATATTGCAGATATCAGTCTAATAAATGTAATTTTATTGAAAAATACTGATTTAATCAGTCAGACTATTTAATACAGCCATAAGCGTCTGACTTGAATTAATGTAAGAGACCACAAACATATCCCGCCCAACTCCATATCTTCATTGCTTTCATAAACATTATAATATCCTACTCAACACAAATTCTTCACTGCTTTTTTATTATGAACTAGCTTTTGCCCGCGGCTTCAC